GACATTTAAGATATGATGCTTTCGTGATTCAAAACAACAAAGAGCTTAAAGTTTTAATAAAAACAACCCGATATATAGACCTAGAATACAGAATAAATACAAATATGAAATCGTATTTAAAAAAGCCACCCACAATAGAACTAGAAGAAGTGGCTGTTAGATTTTTCAGTGATTATTTTCAACAGTTTTTGGATAAGATAGACAGCGATTATATGATAAAATTTTTAAAACAAATATTTGATAAATAATATTCTAATTCTTCTTATTATGGGCGATAATAAAAAGAATTCTATAATGAACGATGTTTATTATGATAGGGCAGGTTTCGGAAGCAAAAAGCAGACATTGAAAGATGCAAGAGAGAAAGATAAAACTATTACAATGGCAGACGTTGATAATTTTTTTAGAGAAAATGTTGAACAGAAGAAGCAGATAAGAGGAAGAAACACATTTATAGCGCCAGAACCTTTTTACGAATTTCAATTTGATTTGTTTTTTATAAATGACCTTAAAAATCAAAAATTCAACATCGGGGCGATAATGATTGATGTGTTTAGTCGGTTTATGGTGGTAGTCCCGATTAAAAACAAGAACGAAGCAAACATAGCATCAGGAATTATAGAGGGCTTTAACAAAATGGGAGGAAAGCCAAAAATACTTTATACCGATGATGAGGGGGCATTGCAGAAGGAAGCTATACAAAAATATTTGAACGATGAAGGTATACAGCACCATAGAACCAGAGCACACGCTAATTTTAGTGAACGAGCCATTAGAACATTTAAGGATATGCTTTATAAAAGAGTTGAAGCCGACGAAAAGAAGGGAAAAAATAATATCCAATGGACAGATTATATTTTTGAAATTTTACTAACATACAATAACAAAATGGAACATTCAGCTATAAAAATGACACCGAAGGAAGCAATGAAGGAAAAGAACGAATTGAAGGCAAAACAAAATATGACCAGACAAGCAACCAGAACCCGAAAGTATCCCGAGATATCGGTGGGCAGTAAAGTTAAAATTTACAGGAAAAGGAAAATTGGAGAAAAAGAAAGGGTCAGTTTATGGAGCAAGGAAACATATGAAGTAGAAAGAATAGAGGAAAGGAACAACCAAAGTAATTTTTATGTAAAGGGCAACAGCCGACCATATTTAAGATTTGAACTTTTAAAACTTTAAAAAAATATATAGAAATTTTATTATAAAAATTTTTCTTTAAAAATGGTTTAAAGAAAAAATAATATATAAATATTAATATATAGGTTATAGTATGAACAAGTTTGTAGAGAGCAACGTCAGGAAACTGAACAAACTGAAACAGGAGCGAATAAATAGCGCGAACAAAATCACACAAGCAACAAAAAACAGGCTAAATCAGATCGTATCACTTTACAAGGATAGGAAAATTGCAAATGTAGCAACCGCCGAGAACTTCATAAAAAACCTTACCAGCACCAATAAAAGAACAGCAGAAAAAGCGAGGGACAAGTATAACGAACAAATTAAAGACCTTAAAAAGTCAAAACCACTAAACGAAAGAATAGCCGAAAAGAAAGGTATGAATACTTATTTGGTGAACTTTCAACTTTACACAACACGACACCCTAGAAACATCATTAAACCAGCATTTAAAAAATTCGGAATGGAATTTTACATAGAAAAGTTTGATATAAGACAGGCTACTGTCAAAGCAAAGGATTTTAATAAGGATTGGATCAAAAAGGTAATATTTAGATTTGTTGACGAAGAAAGTTTTAAAGGTAAAGATCCAAGGAGGGTAGATAAAGAATTTGAAGAAATAATGGACATTTTAAGAAAAGATAAAGACTTTGATAATTTAGTAAAAGAACTAATGCAACATTACGATAATCTTTTTGATGCAATCAAAATTCAACAGGTGGAACAAATCAGTAAAAGCGGTGAGAAATTTGACATAATGAAGGAAAGCCTAACTGATGGAATACAACACGTATCGATGTATCACCGCTATATTTACACAGACCTTAACAGCAACTTAACAACATTGAGACAAGCAATTGAAAATAGCACACACGTAGAAAATCAATGTTGGATAAATTCACTATCCGATTTTTACCGTGATACCTTAATGGACTATGGCAAAAGGAACCAACTGACCAGAGAAAAAATTATTGAAATTATAGGCAGAAGCGATTTTTACAGCAATGGAGCGAGTATTGAAGAAATGGATAAGGTATTTAAGGCATTCAAAATACCAGCTAGAATTTACAACAGCTTCAACAAACTGATTTACAAACACGAGCCCGAGCACAACAAACGAAGAATAAAGCCGTTTTATGCCATAGTAAAAAACAGCCATATATACACCATAAATAACGATCTAAAAAGTATAGAACATAAACAAAACGAAGAAGAAGAAAGACCACTGGTGAAAGCCTCCACGGACTACCATTTAAACGAAAAAGAAGAGCCACCCGAGTTTAAAATGTTCAGAGACACACACGACATTTTAAAAATGGTCAGTAAAGATAAAGAGCCGAAAACTATTCATTTAGTGCCCGAGTTAAACAATTTGACAGAGATATTTTTTGAACTAGTGAATGCTAGATATGAGCCACAGATCAGATTTCAAGCAGGCATCATAACACAAATAAAAATGAAACTTAAAAAAACCACCTTTATAATAAAAACCCAAAATCTGATTAAAGACTCGTCTGATGGATGTATCGCAGTTGATAACGAAAAAACATACAACAATATGAACGATGCAATGTTTCATTTTAACAAGAGTCTGTTTAATCCATTGCACAAGTCGTTTTATAACAAAGTGGATTTGGAAATTTACCACGAAGCAAAAACCATACCGCCAGCAGGACTTTTCACAGACAAGGGTTCCATACCAAAAAACCTAACCGAGATTGACATAACCAAAGCTTACACAAGCAGACTAGTAGGGATTACACAGGTGCCGGTTTTCAATCAGTTCGATGTTTGGAGAAAATGGTTTAAAGAGATGGATTTTAACACGATGTCAGACTACACTTTATTTTTCGTTGAAGATTGTAGCCACTGTGGAATTGTAAAACCCAGCACCTTTTTAATGTTTAACAAGAGGTATAACCTGATTTATGGAAAATATTTGAAACAAATTGACACTAATAAACTGAACATATTGTATTATAAGACACCATCCTTTATTCACGAGGTAAATTATAACGATTATGTAAAAGAATTATGGAACAAAAATATTAGCGACGAAGAGGAACTGGATAAACTGATTAAAAAACTTATTGTAAATGTCAATATCGGACTTTTGGAAAAAACGGGTAGCACTGATCAAAAAAGCATCGTCTTTAAGAACATTAGGGAGGCATCGGATTTTCAAGTAAGGCACGGAGGTAAAATTCACAAAATAACAGAAATGGAATGTAGAAACGAAACAACTTATGAAGGTGATAAAGAAAATGATGATTTTTCTATACAAATACAGACAACCGAAGAAGAAGGTATGGAATATTATTTAGTTAATGTTTCAGACAAGGCAACATTAAACAACGGTTTTATTTACATAAAGGAGCTGTTGCTTCAAGATCATAATTTTAAAATGTGTCAGGATTATAATAAATTGAGGAAAAATTCTATAAAGGCAGTCAGTGTAAAAACAGATGCATTTGTTATTAAATCCGAAGATGTGGAAAAAGCAAAGGAAGTATTAGAAATGAAAGCTGGTATCGGAGAATGGAGAACGAATAAAGAAGGAGAGGAAGTAAAACTGCCGAGTGAAACATATCAAAGGAAAAAGAACGAACTGGATAAAATCCCCATCTACAAGAATACAGCAATAAAAATTAAGGACGAATATGATACAACAAATATCATAGAAAAAGTTATTAGCGCTAAACACGTTATGATCAGGGCAAAATATGCAGGATCCGGAAAAAGTTATATTTGTGAAAAAATGGCGCGAATGGGAATGAATGTTTTATTTGTATGTCCTACAAATAAGCTAGTCCAAAAATACGGAAAGGAAGCGGTAACAGTTAATAAGTTTTTTTCCATAGCAGTCGGGGACGAGAAGTTAGAAAAGTTTGATTATTCCGGTTATGATGTTATAGTGTTTGACGAGATTTATTTTAATGGTTTAAGGGTATTGAATAGAATTAGGGAGTTTGTTGAAAACAACCAAGATAAAATAATAGTGGCAACAGGAGATGGTAAGCAATTAAAACCAGTATCGGAATTAACAAATTTACAAGAGCACGAAGAATATGCTGATAATTGTGTGGATAAAATTTTTAAATATAATATTTATTTGAAAGTTTGTAAGAGGTTAAGAAAAGAGGAAGACAGGAAAAAATTAGAAAATATTTATATTGACATTTTTGAAAATAATATTAAGGTCAGAGAGTTAGTAGAAAAATATTTCAAATACACTTCCGATATGAACCTAAACGAAAATAATGTAGCATATTTGAACGACACCTGCAAGGAAGTAGCAAACCAAATAAGAAAAAAGCAGAATAGAAAGGGCGAGTATGAAGTAGGTGAGGTGATGATATGCAGAGAGTATTTAAAATCAACAGAATATAAATTTCAAGTAAATTTTAAATACAAGATTTTAAACATCATTGAAAATATGGTGGTGTTGGAAGACGAGCACGATAAGAAAATACAAAAATTGCCGTTAGATATGTTGAGGAAGCATTTTATATTTAATTATTGTTATACCTGCCACAGTGTCCAAGGTTCCAGCATCGAAGGAGGTATAACAATATTTGATTACAACCATTGTTTGGTAGATAAGAATTGGATATGGACAGCGATCACGAGGGCAACTGATTTAAATAATGTGAGCTTTTATAAATATGATGATGATGACGACGATTTTAATAAAAACTGTATTTACAACTATTTGAAAAGAAAGGTAGAGGGATATAAGGAGCAAGACAGAAAAGCTAAAAGGAAAATCGACCATAAAAACTATATTACAGCAGATTGGTTATTAGATAGATTGAATGGAAGGTGCGAATTATGCAATGTAGATTTTTATGTAACGTCAATAAACGGAAATATAAGAACGAACCTGACGGCGCAAAGAAAATTTAACGACCAAACTCACACGATAAGCAACTGCATAGCATATTGCAAAAAGTGCAACTGCTGTATGAGCGACAAGGAAAAGTTTTAAAAAGATTTAGTTTTAAAAAAAACTTTTATATTATATTGTATATATGCCGGTTAGTAAAACCAAGGTGGTTAAAGAGGAAACCATAGTAGAAAAACCGAAGGAGGAAGAAGCGCAAGAATTTAATGAAAAGGTTTATGATATGATTTCAGAGGTGCATCGTAAAATGGATTTGATGTTAGAAAAAATTGAGGCTATTAGTGAAAAACCTAAATCCAGAACAAGCAATTTAAATACCGAAGCATCATATACAAACAAAAGAAACGCCTATATCAAGAAATTAAACGAAGGAGCAATTTTACAGCCTAAACCGGAAACAATGGAATATTACAAGGTTGTAAAGGAGGGCGATAAATATGTTTAGATTTTTTACAAAGATTTTTTACAATAAATTTTGATAAAAATTTATGCTGAAATTTGTGAAACAAATTTTACAAGGATTTTTTACAAAGATATTTTACAAAATGCAATTTTTCAACAAACATTTTTTGAAAGATTTTTATGATGAAAATTTTGAAATATTATTTTTATGAAAATTTTGGAAAATTTTATGATGAAATTTTTAATATTTTTTATCATAAAATTATTGATTTTTTATTGAGATTTTTTGCGAGGAACGGTTGAGGATCGGATGTCAAAAATGAGCAAAAAATTATTGAAATGTTGAAAACGTATATCCCCCCCTAGGGAAAAAACGAATGAGGGTTGAGCGGGTGTAAAAAAAAGTGGGGCATACCCTGACCTAACTATCAAAACCCTGTTAAATCCTGCAAAAGCCTACAAAAGGATATAGGGTTCAAAGCAAAAATCACATCAAAGAATTGAGTTCGACGTCTGTTATGGTCTTGCAAGAGAAGTAAATATATTCAGATCAAATGTTTCTTTTCCCATGTCTTTCAAGAGATACAGCAATGCTAAGAAGTTGCGAAATGGTGAAAGACATGGAGGCAAACAACTAATTACAACAGCTCAAAAACATGTTATTTCCTGAGAGCTACAAGCAATTCGTTCAGTGTGTGGCCGCACGGAGATAGGATTATATTGATGCCAAAACACACTGGGATTTTCCCCATAATTTTTGGGGATTTTATGAATTGAGGATTCTTGCATCTTTCTCTCCCTCTTTAGTTTATGACGGGCACCGTCACGAAGATCCCTTGAAAGGAGATAGCGACCTGTAAATTTACTTGTAGCTTCTTGAAACTCCTTCGCCAATACTCGTCTCTCATTATATATCATTGGATTAAGAGCTCCGGTTAAAAGACACCGTAGGTATTTCTTCGAAGTTTTATCAAGCCGAGGGTTGAGGCAAGTCACGAAGACGGGCGTGGCGAGCCTTTCGTTCCGTGGCAGCGGAGGGGTGCTTGGACCATCCCCCCCTCCCATTTCCCCCCA